GGATGAAAAAGAACTTGTCTAGTTGTAGTACTGAACGTGAGCACACTTTTCCTGAAAATTGTGTTAGAGGTCTCATTTACACACTCAAGAACAAGCTCAAAGGACCTCACTGCTTTGGAATAGGCAGACTTTAAACCAGTATTTCTCAACCTTGGCAACTTTGTGTGGACTTCAACTCCCAGAATTCCCCAGCCAGCATTGCCAAGGTTGAGAAACACTGCTTTAAACAAACTAGACATGATTTGGGGGGAGGGGGATTGTTTGTTTTATACCCAGTGAAGATATATATATTTGTCAGTTAAGGAAAAACACTTGCCTGAAAAAAAGTGTGTTGTCAGGAACCTATGAGCCTCTAGAGCAGGGTTCCTCAACCTTGGCAACTTTAAGACGGGTGGACTTCAATTCCCAGAATTCCCCAGCCAGCAAGGGGAATGGCTGGTTGGGGAATTCTGGGAGTTGAAGTCCACACAAAGTTGCCAAGGTTGTTGTCAGGAACCTATGAGCCTCTAGAGCAGGGTTCCTCAACCTTGGCAACTTTAAGACGGGTGGACTTCAATTCCCAGAATTCCCCAGCCAGCAAGGGGAATGGCTGGTTGGGGAATTCTGGGAGTTGAAGTCCACCCATCTTAAAATTGCCAAGGTTGAGGAACCCTGCTCTAGAGGCTCATAGGTTCCTGACAACAAGAATTCCCCAGCCAGCAAGGGGAATGGCTGGTTGGGGGATTCTGGGAGTTGAAGTCCACCCGATCTGAAGAGAAACCAGTGTATGCCAGTAATAGAGACCCAGTTCCAGTTCCATCAACCCCTTGTTTTCGGAGGTTGTCAGGAACCTATGAGCCTCTAGAGCAGGGTTCCTCAACCTTGGCAATGCTGGCTGGGGAATTCTGGGAGTTGAAGTCCACCCATCTTAAAATTGCCAAGGTTGAGGAACCCTGCTCTAGATGGTTGCTAAATCCAGAGAGAAGGACTCAAGAAAGCAAAAGTCCATGCAATATGAGAGAGAGTTCAGTAATGGTGACTTTTTATCACAGAATTTGATATAATAATTGTGTTATGGGGGGGAGGAAGAGCAAGGAGTACTGGAAATATTGGTGAAATAGGTTAAACTGAAGAGAGACATTGCTTACATTATGCAGGTAAGCTTCAGAAGGAGGGGAAAAGGGCCCCTCTTTTCCCACTGCCCCAAATTGCGTAATCGGGCTGGTAGCTCTAGCACTATAGTTATGAAAATGTGGGAAAAGAACAAGTTATTCCCTTTACCACTTCCCCTCCACACTAGACTCTTTTTTCCCCTCTAATTGGGCTTGGTAGGCAGCGTATTTTGTTTCGCTCAGGAAATCAATCAAGGATTTAATAAGGAAAGTGGAATGCTAGGTAGGACTGCAAGAATCCGCAAATGGTTTTGAAATCAGAGATGATATGAAAAAGGAAGCAGGAACAGAAGGGAGGAAGTACAGATGAAAGAAATAACCAGGGCAGCTGCAGCAACATTTGCATGACTGGAGGGGGCAATATTCCAACCTCCGAAAACAAGGGGTTGATGGAACTGGAACTGGGTCTCTATTACTGGCATACACTGGTTTCTCTTCAGATCGCATAATCTATTACTCATGCATATTGCTTCCTTTTATCACACAAATCAGATCAAAATCCATCAAAGGAAAACAGCTCTATGTTCCCCCCACCAGCTCAAGTGGTAGATAACACCATCCACTATTCTGTTTCCTAGCAGCAATTTTCAGGGGTGGAATCTAATATTATGCATATATGTAGCTAGCAGGGAACTGCACTTCACCATGTGGCTGCAGCAACAGATTGATCAGAATGTGAGAATTGCAAACAAATGAACCAAGTAGGCATGTGTTTAAAATTAAAGGTCCCATATCCCTACCCCACCAGCTAAGTGTGACTTTCACTCTTTGAAACTCCAAGAACATATTTATCCAGATAAATTTAATATTCTGTACAAAGAAGCATCATGAAATATGATTTGCTTGCACTGCCAGAAAGATTAGTAACTAAGAGTTAGAGTCAAGGTCCAAATGACTAAAAGCCAACAAATAAGACAGGTAGTCCTCACTTACCAACCGCCTCGTTTAGCAACCATTCAAAGTTACTACAGTGTAAAATAGCTTTGCGACCAATCCTCGCATTTACGACCATCGCAGTATCCTGCAGTCACATGATCGCTATTCAAACACTTCGCAACCCGAGCATATTTACTACGGTTGCATCATCCTGCAGTCACGTGATCGCCATTTGTGTGGATCACAACTGGCTTGCAACAAGCAGAGTTAATAGAGAAGGCACAAGTAAAATCATAAGTCACAGTTACATGTTTCACTTAACGACCACAGTGATTTGCTTAACAACCAAAGGGGAAGTGAGGTCATAAGCCTGTCGCAGTCACGTGATTTTCTGCTTAGCGACCACAGTGCTTAGCAACGGAGTTGCCAGTTCCTATTGTGGTCGCTAAGTGAGGACTACCTATATGCTGTGTATTTCAAACAAGACAGATAAGCAAGCCAGGCAAGCAACAGACCAGGGCTTTGTGCACTCTATGATTATGCAATGTAAGTGCAGAAATTATGTGGCAAAGAACTCAGCATCCTGACAGTATCAGTTCTTGGAAGGTGATAACACGTATGGGGTATGTTTGTTAATGACAGTAATTGATTGTACATTTTGTCAAAACTCTCCTTAAGGTTGTGCTTTCACGTAAAGGTCAGTGGTGAACGTTTTGCAAATAATCCGTATCTGATGAGTGAGATTTCAAATGATATGGAAGGAGAGCTTCTCATAACAAAGATGTCAAACTGTATTAGTTAAGGCAGGATGCAAAATTTGGCACTTCTTGACATACAGTTTTGGTATTTGAACCACAGTACACACAGAGCCTTGGGTTAACTTCAATACACCACTCAAGCAAAAGGACCCAAATTAAGCTTGTTGTGCTGTTGTGAAATATTGTGCAGTGCACTATGCTGTGATGAAGTAGCATGAAAGCTGGTAAGATACTCTTCTGTAGCTGGTATGTTTTGCCCAACAGCAGAATTTTAGCATTTCAGATAACTGTTCTGTGTGAGTGTCAAGATACTAACAGGAACATTTTTAATAAAAATAACTCATTCATGGTGTCCTTCAGCAATTTTCACGGACATAATTAAAAAACAGAAAAATGTCTTGGGTTGCACCTTTATTCTGATTTGTTTCTTCCAACTCACCAGTCTAGATAAATTCTATTATGGGAAAACTCTTTCAAAGTTTAACATCCAGTAACTTTAAAATAAAAGTTTTCTCCCATTGACAAATGAACATCTGAACTTTAAGGGCCTTCAGAGAGTTCTCTGAAAGTACAATGTTTTTTAAACACAATTTTTGTGGCTTGATATTAGAAACTGATAGAGTGTGTGCATAATCTAGTAATATGCATGTAGTATGTATACACATTTTAAGTGCACAGATATTTACATGTTGCAAAAGCTGGGCTCTGCAGCTTATTTGAAACTTCTATTGAAAATCTCAGTAATACTCTAACGAGTATTCAGTAATAATCAGTAAATAGCTTAGAACTTAATTTGAAATCAGCTTCATAAGACCCAAAACCTATACTGTAGAAATCTGTTGCTTCCTTACTTCTGAAAGAAACAATGATTCCTGTGAATACTACTGTTAGTATTTTTTAGTTTTCATTTATTTATTATCATTTTGTTACTGAGACTTCATTATAGCCATAAGCCCGCTGAAAGGTTCCTTTTTTGCAAATGGATGCTTTATATCTTAAAGGGAAGCCCCTTCTCTAAAAGAAGGCCACTCTCTCATGGGATTCCTTAGGAAACAGGCAAGCAGTAATCCAAAGGGCAACACTGTTATCTCGAAAACCAGAGCAGCCCCACAAAATTGCCTAGCTGGCTTAACAAAATATTAATTTAGGAAAACTAAACAAGTCATTTTGCCATCATCTACTGCTTCAAATAAAATGGAAAGCAAACTAATGCTCTTCCAAGATTCAGTAGTAGTATTAAAAATTGTTTTTAAGACCTCTGTGTTAAAACTGTATTTAAGACTGACAAAGGTCTGTATCTAAGACCTCTGTCAGTCCTAAAAATTACTTCAACCATTGACATCTTAAAGTTACTCTCTTATCTTATTTAAAGAAACAGAATTTGTGTTAGTTCAGAATGTTGGGTCTGACACTTGAGCGGTATCCAGTTTTTATATAAAGAATGTTTGCAAAGGAAAAGCTCACAGTAAGGAAGAGCTGAAAGCAAAATATAGTTAGTATCCTTTAAGTTACAAAGCTACAAGTATTACCCAAGAAAGAATGCACCACAAACATCAGCATTTATTCATTTTTAACTTTTTAGCAAAAATGACAAAATACCTAAGCTCAGTAGTTTTAACTTGTTAGCTTAGGTTTAAACATTACACATTTAGATGTCAAAATGTACTAAATTGCCAGCATTCATGCAAAACTAGAAAACATCCTTAATTTGTTTAAACCAGAAATGCACTGTCAGTAACATATTAACATTATTCACTACTAAATGCTGAACGCTTGAAATTAAATTTGCCTCAGAAATGTTAACTTCACAGTAAACTATTAATTGGCTCACATGTCAACACCTAAAAAAAAAATAAAAAAGCAAGATTCATGCTAATATGAGTGTACAATTTGTCCCTAGCACTAAAGCAGGGTAAGTGTTCACCTAGAATCATGTTTAATATAAAGCAAAGTGCATACAGAAATTTACAACAAATTTAAGGACAAAAAATGGTCCTATTCATGTGGTCCCAGCAATTAAACGCAAAAAGTCTGACATATGAGCTCCGATGAGCCATTTATAAATACTTTAGATTATGTATAATGAAAGAGTTCATCTGAAATCTTCAAAAAATGTTCCTGTTAATCCGCAAAGGGTGCTCGTTTATAGCTTAAAATTTCTGTTAAATGCGTGCGATGAATTACTTGTTATCCAAGGGTAGCAGCTGCTCCTTACCATTTATTGTTAAAGACTTTAACAGGCCATCTTCTTCAACTTCTACTCTCTCTTGCCCATTCTCAACAATTCTGCAGGACAAAAATCCATGGAAGAGCGTGGGTGTTGGTTTTTGTTTTTTGAAACAGTAGTAAGATAACACATGAATCTCCTGTCCATAAAGTAATCCACCACAAGACAGTGCCTCACTGCAGCAAACTCAACTGGAAAGCTTCATTTTACCCACAACTTTGAAGCAATTAATTCTCCAGTTGTCAAAATCCTTGCAAAATCTTTTAGCTTTTTAACTACGATTCCAAGTCAGATCAGACACACCTCTCCATAATCGTATTTTTTCTTTATGATGCATATCTTAGGCACTTCAGTCAAAGGGACGCCAACTTAATTTAGACTTGTCCCCAGCATAAAAATATCAAACATAATAACATAAAAACAATGAGCCAAACCTTACTGAAAGGAATAGCTACTATAGTCTTGCTTTGTTTTCAATGGAAAGAAATGTTATTAACAACTCACTAACAAATTTAAATTAAAATCACTGTACCTCTTTGTAGTGATTTTTCTGCCGTTAACTATTTTAGTTGAAGTCGATACAGATTTAAAATTACCCATTCCACTCCCACCAAATGACGTGGAAGAGAACGAAGTAAGGCCTCCATGGCCAAGAGAACCGAATGAAGTAAAACCTGTTAAGAAAAAGTGACAGAATGTATTTGACCAAGTTAAAGGAACCACATTAATTCAACAACTGGATAGCAGCTTCCACCTATATTTCTGCTTTTAGATTAATGGACAGACTAACGTTTGGAACTGACTGTCAGGCCATTTATTGATGAACATATTTATTTACCAATATTGAGAAATTAACATTTATAATTTCTAAATACTAAATATTCAAAGTGTTTATATTCAAAAATACCAAATCATAGTGTATTACACCAAATACAACAACCTCTATCCTCACCACTCAAATACAGATTTATTACAAACAATAAAACCAGAGAAATCTATTTTGTAAAATTGAAAATTGTTGAAAATTGATTAGTTTATGTTGTAAGCCCTTTGAAGAGCTAGAGAAGTGGGGAACCTATGGAAATCCAAATATTGCTGATTCCCATGCTTGACAGAGCTGCCAGGTGGTATAATTCAGTAACATTCTGGAGCACCACAGGCTCTTCACCCCTGAAATAGATGTAAAAAACCCCAAATCATTAGGTCCATCTAAAGCAGCTTTTGCTCTCTTTTAGTTGTCTGTTCCTATAATTCTAGCTTGCATACATGGTATCCAAGGCAGACTCACATTTTGCAGGTCTGCAGAGTTTAAACCTTGTGCGTAAACACCTGAGGATTTATTCCTTTGAGAATTGTCCACATTTTAACATCTACGTTGTAATTAAGTTCATCCCACCTGTATCAAAGGAAGAAAAACCGCTCCCAAAGGCAGGAAATCCACTGAAGGCAGAGAAAAAGGAACCACCGCCTCGGCTTCTGTTTCCACGTGACCCTCTTCTGTTACCAAAAAAGTCATCAAAAGGATCTTCTGCAAATAAAATTAAAAAGGGTTTAGAATTAACCAGTGAATTTCTGTATTAACTAAATACAAAGGTTTAAAAACGGACATTCAAATGTTAAGATGTATCTCCAGTATAATCTATTTTTATCTTTGACACGACAGCATAATTGTCATACAAAGATTTCTTAGTGCTACATTATACTCATGTACATAAAAGTATTATTCATAGTTTTCAATAGGTCCTTTACCAAAGTCACCCAGCTATCTTTGTCCCTAAGACAGGACTAGAACTCATCTCCTGGTTTCTAGCCTGGAATCTTTAACCACTGCAACACCCTGGCTCTTTTCCTGAGGTCCTACTCCCAAGGAAATCTGCACTGAACTGCAGCCTTTACGTCTAATTTTCTAATATAAGAAAAGAAAGGGCAACCTGTAGAAAAGTAAGTCATTTGTGTTTCACTGCCACTTTAATCATATCCTTTTATAGGTTTAGGAACTTGGGAACCTGAACAAAAGCTGTAGTAATTAAGAACCTAAATCTGTTATCATATTAGCTTGATTAATAAGGTTTTAACCAGACAAATATTAAGAAACTTGCATGAAGGTATTCGAAATGCTAAATGGAACAGTAAAAAGAACCCCCTTATTGCTAATGTGGTATGTATGTTTCTTTATGGAAAAATGATGTTGCTTTTGTAACAGGTCTTATGGTATGTAATACATAAAAATTTAATGTTATCTGAAAGCAAAGTGATAGTTATTAATCAAACATTTCATCTTCATTACAGTCTTAAAATCAAAGTTTACCATTTTGTCACCTGGATCAACATTTGATCCAGAGATACCTTGTAAATATGTATAAATGAATATATGCAAAAATTATCACAATAAAAGAAAAGCACTTTAACTAATGCGATCACAAGATTTAATTGAAATATGACTGAATCACAGGACTTTATAATCACTCTAGTCTAAGATCCCACAGAACCCAAATTACCATAATCTAGATGTATATATTTATTTGAAAAATGTTGAAAAAAATAATTTGTTCAACATCACCTCGACAAAAGGACTTCAGGCACCCCCAGACTAACCCTTCCAAGCTTCCATATTGCCAATCCCGCCACTTTGTAAAGCATCTGGATTTTTAAAAAGAGGAGGAAGAGGAGGAGGAATAGGAACTCCAAGACATTCTTCTGCTGTTGTACAAGACTGAGTTGAAACCCTAGAGCTGAATTGTAAGTAGAGTTCAACATGTCCTTCAGTTTTAGCTGTTTATGATTTTTTTTAGAATCTATCTGAAGATCAGACCATCTGAGACCTATTTGTAGGGTATTACATTTTAGAACACTTTTACAGGATAAGTATATCTCATCAAATATTTAGAAAGACTTCAAGGCATCAAATACATCTAAATCACATGTTTTAAAAATGCTTCTGAATGGTCCTTAAATGAATTATGTCATTTAAAAACTAACAATGGGGGGGGGAAAGGGTTACTGCAATTGGTGGATCCCGTTAAAAGTGAGAATTCCACACACAGCCCATGTTTTTCTTGCCACAGAATCTCTTTGGACGTATATATGTATATAAAGATTAGAGGATGAATTGAAATATTCACAAAGGTTTTTTTTACTTCAATTACATTATAGCTATATAAACATTCAAATGATGTGAATCTAGTTCTGCCCATCTAAAAGGCAGAAATAACTGAGCAACTTCTAGATTTATATACCCAGGAGCTAAAGTTTTAATGTTCAATGCTTCAAACCAAAGTACATGGATTTGTGTTTGTACTCTTCTATGAAGTTCAACTCCCTTCCCTTTTAACCTAACAAATACTTTAAAGTGGACCTCTTGGCTCCATGTTAGTCATCCCAATCATTATACCCTACTGATTTTCATTTTCATGAAACCTGCCCTCTACATGAAGAAAAGCAGTACATGTTCATTTCACTTTCACATTTGCATGTAACAGTTTCTTAAGATACCCTTCTGTTACCCTTCCCAAGGACCAACAGCTTAACTGAAAAATTAAATAAAGGTAAACATAAAAGATATGAGAATCAGTTGATTTATTAATACCCTAAACTATGATAACTAGTATTAGTAGACCTAGCTTTAATTACTAGCACTAATTCAGTAATTTCCAACATCACCAATGGCCTAAGAATCTTTTAAATAAAACATTACTCCTGTAGCAAGACTCTTCATATGCTAAAGTTCAGCACATTATCTGGTAAAGCCACTAATATAACTGCCTAATTTATTACCACTGACTCATGAGCAAGTTATGAAGGTCACTTGTGTACACATGAACTATATTATATTACTGCTCACTATTATGGATCTATATATAGCCAGTTTTTTTCCAAGTTACCTGGTGTTTAGAGCATTCTTATTTTTTCAGTTCAAGTTTGGTCCTTACCATGAATATGACTTTACAGTGTCTAAAATACTCCTAGAGAATCTTTAAGAGTTTAAATAATTCTGCAAATATAGGATTATATTTAGTTCCACTGCATACAGTTAATTTCACCTGTATTTTGTATCTGCCATAAGAATCCAGAAGCTCCAGTTACCTTGCCCAATTTTTCTAAAATCAAACCTCTCAATAAAGTATGTTGATTTAAAACTGTATATACAGCAAAGTAATTACTCCAAACTGATAATCTCTAGATTTACTAAGAAAACAGCCCCCACTTAAAAATCTTCAAAGCAGAACCAAACAGAACTGAGGTTATTGAGTTATTCACATTGTTTTTATAACATATGTCCTGCCTTTAATTTTTCCATCAACACTTAAAAGGAAACATACATTTGTCTCCAGTTGCACCCGATTACAAGTTTCACTCAACTATATTCAGACATGAAGATGCCTTTCAAGTACTATATGAGTCTTTGTCTCTGACCTTTCATATGAATAAAAATTAACATTGAATAGAACTCAGTAATTTCAGAATGCTAACACAAAATATCACTTACAGCAGCCAACATTTAATAGTCTCATTTTGTATTTCAATTTTATGAAAACATGATATATGAAACTGTTAAAGAGCCCGTTATGTTCTTTGGAGAATTAAAGAACTTTTATTCTTCTGTTTATTTACAAAGAAAAACAAAAGTAGTTTGGGATCTCTTATCACAAGAATAGAACTAAATAACTGTGAGCATCCAAACCAAAAATCCCAATTAATTAAGAAAAGACTATTCTATATCTCCAGTATGTTTGAAGAGCTCCTTTTTCTGCAGGAGATGCCAGATTTGCAAATAGATGCAAATATGCTTGCTGACATCCAAGCTGAATAAGGGTTAAATATATCCAGACTTCAGATTTAGCAGCCATTTTGAATGTCTGAATAGAATACAACTGCTTCCATTTATACCTATAAATTATATTTTCTGACTGCTTGTGATCTAGGATAACAACAAACCTATTTGTTTCATTAATACTGATTAATTTAATCTGTTTTACTAACTTTTCTGAGCAAGTAATTACAAGAGTTCCAGGAAAATGAATTAAGCGGGTTTCTGGAACATTTACACAAGGTGACTAATTTAATATTCAGGATGTCCTTATTTCAGATTTCTTTGAAAAGGCTTAGAAAAAGACTTGTAACTGAGGTTCAAATTGGTATACTTTGTTATCCGTCATTTTAAAATGACTAGTTACAGGACAGATGGTACTATGTTCATAAAACACACTTATGGGGTCTGCTAATTAGATTTAATCAAAGTGACTCTAAAAGTTCTCAAAGCTACTAGAAGTTTGCAGTGCTGTTAAAATTGCATTTATATTAAGCTCTAGCTAACACAGTGGTTTTGACTTTTTTTACACCAAGTAAGAATCCTTCAGAGAAGTGAAGAGACATTTCAGATAGCTTAAAATAGAATTTATTAACATAAAGACTTTTATTTAATAAAATTCCTCCAATTCTGATCCTATACTTATTTCTTCTTCCAGCTCCTCCAAACTTATACTGCTAGGCTCTTCTACCCAATCTTCTGACACTAAACTCACTTCCTCCTCTAAAGACTCTTCTGCTACTCCTTCAGAAAAGTCCTCTTCCTCTACTAGCACTTCGTCCAGCTCAAAGGATCCTTCATATTCTTCAAATGCCTCAACAGAATCTTCATCATACTCTTCATATAGCTCTTCCTCCAGCTCCTCTGCCATTTCTCCTACCGACTCATAACTATACTCTTCCAAGAGCTCCTCTATAGACCTTTCTTCTGATCCTTCATTAGAATCCTCTGGCAGCCAACTGATAAGCAATGAGTAGGTATCTAAGAAAAGTACCAATCGTAATTCAGTAATTTCATAAAATAAATTAGCCATTTAATAATGCAAGTCACCAAGTAAATTCTTAAAATTTACTTCCCATGAATTTAAAGATGAAGGTTGGCAGGATAATACCTTTAGATTCACCACTGAATAAAAATTCCACTTCAACAGAAAATCAAGCTCAGTTTTAAAACTATGTAATCTGAAATGCTTGTTCTTTAAAAATGAAGAATGGCAGTTAAATATTTCTGTCTACTCTCTGAAGATATACGCACCCACATACATCAGTGTTTGTTACAGTGTTATTAATGCAACAGAACAGTAACCTGTTCTATTTCCATACTCAAAACATAATGCCATTTACCTGATTAAATTCAGATTTATCACCAAAAAATAACCTTCACTTTTCGGATATCCTCAGTACTCCCTTTCTAATACCAGGATATCAACCATTGCATAAATGGGACAAGTAGATAAACTTTTTATTAACTTTTATTAAGTTACCAATTAAGTGAAAACTACTGTTTAAACATATTCATTTCCATGTTTATGCATACAGGAAATGAATTGTAGGGGAGCAATTTCTCCAAAAATAGATCCATGCCACTGAAAAGAGGAAAAAGAATTTCATGTATTTGTCATATATTTAGGATTCAAGAAAAAAAAAATCACCTCCCTAGGCAGTCCCAAAATAGAACAAAAATTCAAGTAGCATGTTTCAGCCAAGACCAAAAGTTGTAACCAAAATTAACACAATCTTTTTCAATCTGAGAATTATGTTCACCAAGGTCTCCCAGTAGGTAGAGCTAGAAAAATTAATTTTAATTAGGTAAAATTATTATTTCCTATATATTTCATAATTTAAAAATACAGTTCAGTGTAAATTTTTGAAGAAGTTCCATATGAGCAAATGCAGCTCTGAAGCCATAAGTTGGGTCCCTTATTTAAAATAATGTGAATTAAAGTTCCACACAGCACTGGTTCAGCAACATCTGGATGACTACAGGTCCTCTATTCTTTGTTTTAAAGATTGAGCAAATTATTCAAGTTACCTGGAATGAAAGCAGTTTTTTTTAAGCCCAAAAGCTACAACTTGATTTGAACCCTAAAAGAAATCCAGCAACTAAAAATGTTATACAAGAGCAATATAATATGTTCCCTGAATATCTTGCCTCCAGCAACAACCAACTTACTGCATTTTATATTATCTGAAATTTTTGAATTTTCTTCAAATTCAGCCCACTGCAATTGTCTCTTCTTCAGTGCAATCTAAAACATGCAGCTAACACAGCAGCCTTAGCTAGTAAAAGACATTCTTAACTATCAAAGCCAAATGAACTCTCAGTCAGTCTTAGGTTGAGAGCTATTTCAAAATCACAGAGACAGAGACTTCATAGGGAATGAACCCCTTAAAGAACAGATCAGACAAATCTAACCAACCCTGTTGATCTCTATCCACAGAACTTAATCTTGTTGGTTTTAACCTATATCCGTTACTAGACTTCTTTAGAAGTTCTACAGCCTCTCTGGGATTATTAGGTGGAAATGAGATGTACAGTTATAAGTTACCAGTATTTTAGGGTCCCTTTAGCCCAAACCTCTGAGGACCTACTCTAGAGATAAAAGGCTACAAGGTAGAAATTCTCTTATATAACCAAGTAAGCATGTTCTGTCTGAAAGGGCAAAAGTCACAAAGCTATCCTGACTAGGCAATCCAGAAAGAATCCACAGTTGATCATACCTACAAGTGAAAAAGGCTCTGAAAAAGAAATCTGCAATTGTACTGTCTAGCCCCAGTGTACATCATCCACCAAAGCAAACAAGATTTTTCTATACTAACCCCAAATCGGAAAAGAGTTACATTTTCTGAAGAGAACTTTCTCCACTTCATTTAAGCGTTCCCTTTTCCTGAAGTCTACATAGCCCAGCTCAGATCTGGTGAATTTTATTAGCCAGGAAAGGAAAAAATCCACAAACAGCAAGTATCCTCCTACCAGCCTTTCTATATCTCCAGATAACACAGACTGAGAAATCCACAGACCATGATCAACTGATGTTCTGGCTACATTTGTCTCCAACAAAATGATGGCAACTCAATCAGAAAAAAAGTAAGTGACTTTACCTGTGAACTGCAAGACTTAACTGTCACAATGTCTTGCTCTGATTAAGAAAATGTGGGAGTTATTGGAAAATATTTTTTCCCTTTAGTGTTCATGTCTGTGACCTGCTAAAACCAAATCTATTCAAACCAGCCTTTTTGGTTTAGGAAAAATACTTTCTGCATCTTGATTAAAAGCAACTGTACAATTTGACAACTTGTGACATTTCTGGTTCTTTTCTATTGTGGTCGCTCTTTATCGTAGAATGTCAAAAGAAATTTAAAGCATAATCTTACCACGAAAGGATGCCAACTAGACAGAAAATAGACAAATAACTATGTTAATCAATGCATGTAAGCATATCACAATATTTAAAGGAGAATATCAAATGTGATGTGGTATTCATATCAAATCAAGTCAAAAAGTTAAACTCATTCCAAATTTGTCCACATTGGAAAGCATTAGAGTTGCATCTAAAATCTCAAAATATATCTATACAACTATACAAAATGGCAGCTATTAAGCCAGTGTTTCTCAATGCTGACAACTTTAAGATGCGTGGACTTCAAT